TAATAATTTGTTTAAAGTTTCGTTCATATTCCAATGCGTTTTCTCATCAATGGGCGTGAGTTTAGGGCGATGCGTGCTCCTGTTACAACAGGTGAAACCCGGAGGAGAGAATCGAAGCAGGGGCAGATTTAGGAAATTTGGGGCCCTAGGCAAAGACAGGCAGGGGGCCCTCTGAATTGAGAAGAAAACTCATAATACAGACCCGTTATAGAGATACAGAAATGTGATGTAAATGTATGGCCAATGGTCATAAAAGCTTTGATTGTTGACATCAGACTGCAAGGTCCCTCGTGTGACCTGCAGAATGCCTGTCATCTGATCAATGGTAAATAGCTTCAGTTCAATGGACCGGTTTTAAGGCTACATTGCCAGCATGTAGCCTAGCTTACCTAAAATTAGCCAATAGAAGCAACAATGGTTTTCTGATAAACAGTCTATTTTATAAATAAGAAAAATACTCTAAATGAATATTTGAGAGGTGAGTAAAAAGAATACAGGCTTATTTCATTTTCAGGCTGATTCTAATGTTTTTGAATTTGTAAGCAGTTTTTTTCAGATTTTGAAAAAAAAAAAGTTTTAGCTGTTTCAATTTAATTAATTGAATTTGAATTAAAAAATACTTGACTTGAAAGGATTCAGATATTCATTTGCAATATTTTATGAGGTTTTGTTCCAAATCTTAATAGATTCATTGCCAAAAGATTCTCTAAAGTAAAATAAAATAAGTTTCCTACCATGACTATGAAGCTGGTGACAGTGGGAAATTAGTCCCTAACTATGTAGGGGCAGTGATAGCCATGCTAACTCTGTAGGGGCAGTGATAGCCATGCTAACTCTGTAGGGGCAGTGATAGCCATGCTAACTCTGTAGGGGCAGTGATAGCTAAATTCATTAAATCGCCCACAAATGTATTAGTTTTCGGTATAAATAATGATCCATTGATCATTCCTGCTGACACTGTAGCTGATGCGGGATCCTGGATTGAAATTTTAGGTGTTAAAACTGAGCATCAAAATGCATTAAAACTGTAAAACAGACCCATTTAAGGGTAACTCTCTCCATCCTGAGGCTGTACATCAGTTTTACTTTAAATAAACAGCCTTTTTTGTGTTATTCTAACTGATGTTTGCTGTCTTATCGCCTGTGTGTGTTTAGTGCTGGGAATGCAGCCACCTTTGCCACCTGAGGCTGTCAGAGAGCTGGTGAGCTCCTGTCTGCACAGAGACCCTGCAGCTGCAGATCTACGCTGCAGCCTGTTTGTGGCTGCAGCTCAGAGCTACAAGAGGGACTCTCTGCTCAGACCCTTCCCTCCTCGCTACATCAGTGGCGACATTAAGGACTTTGAGGAACTGGTAAGAGCTCCACTGACAAATAAATGCTTATATTGTTGCTGGTATGCCCTTCCACAATGGCTCTTAATATTTTTAGCAACAAAAATAAAGACTCAGCTATTAGCTTTAAATAAGAAGTCCGGTCAGAAAGGAATAATGCATGGATCATTAGTTATACGTAAAACTAATACTTTAGCGGTGATTTAATGAATTTAGCGTTAATCTGTTAAAAATAAATGTATTTTCACCGCGATTACTGAGTGGGAGCGGCCACTAGATATTTAGTTATAATTCTCAATTTTCTTTTTACCATAAATATAATTTAACAACTTTGGTTTTAATTAATATTCTTTACCTGGACTAAATGCCTTTTATAATGCCAAAGGTTGCAGACGTCTGCTGTAGATGTTGAAGTTCATCATTTATGGGACTAAATTTAAAATATTTTGATAAAGATTGGAAAAGAAAAACAATTTATATTTGATTTTACTTGCAATAAGAGTACCTACACACAATTCTGTAGTTTGTTCCCTAGATGCTCACTAGGTGGCAGTGCTGTGATGTTTTTTTCTCCATCACACAGAATGCCTGGTTATGAATACACCTTTTTTGGGTGTATAAAGTTCTTATGTACACTAACTGGGTAGAAATTTGTAATTTAATAATTAGAATAGCTTAATGCTACATTAATATGATGACTACACTGTAAAATAATTATTTTACATGATTACAGAATCAAAGGTACCACAATCTTTGGCTCACCTTCCAAATCCTATTTAGTTGATGTGAATTATATATTATTTTTAAACATGCCTACTGCCTTAAACTTGCACATATAAGAGGAATATGTGGAAGTTTAAGAGGAAAAAAACGCAAAACATTTAATGTAGCTAAACACCTTACAGGGTCCTTCAGATCAGAACATTGTTTCAACAGTCCATTTCTACATGTTGACAAAACAAAATGTCGCTAAATAAACTGGAAGCATATAAAACATCTAGTTAGTAAGTGCCAATAAGTCTTCTCTTCCATATGTTCTGTGCTGATTATGAACACAGAGTTTGTTTAAAGATGCTGTATAAAAAGGGAATAAACCATAATACCTGTTTCTAACGTGTTACATGTAATATTAAACAAAGTTAATTAACCAAGGGTACAGTTTTACTCAATATAAAACAATTAATCAGATTAATCATGAATAATTGATTATTGAAATAGTCGTTGACTAATTTAATAATTGATTAATTGTTAACTGGAGTATAGAGACTCTAAAATATGCCTTTAGCTGAAAGAGTGGCCCACTTACAGCAGTAATAATATAAAAAAAAAAAAAAAAAAAAAAAAAAAAAAAATAATTCTGTTTCTCATTGTGCTCTATCCAGAACTCCTCAAGTGAAAAAGTTTTAGTTACAGCTTGTTTAAATTAATAAAAAAAATCTTCTTTAAGGAACCTTTGGTTATCCGATTTAACAATCGATTAATAAAAAAAATAATCAACAGATAAATCAATTTGCAAAATAATTGTTAGTTGCAGCTCTTATTAATAACTGATTTATGTATACTAATAACAGAAAAGATGAGGATCTAAAAGAGGTCGATGGTGATGCTCTTTCCTATTTTCTCAGGTTTGTTTCAGCTTAGTTTTTAGCTTCTCTTTTCAAAGTTGTCAAATCTTACAAATCCTGTTATTAATATTCCATGCATGGATTTAGTAGGATGCATTTCACAAAAATGTAGCCATTATAACTTAGGATCAGTAAATACGTCATATCTATTTTACTAATATTCGCAGTGTCAAATTTCATCGGACCCCTTATAAAAACTCAGGATCCTCCTTTTCTGCCCAACACTCGATCCTCAGGTGCCACTAATGCCTGGAAAATAAACATTCAGATGAAAACAGGTAAAATATTGTCACTGAGAATTACTGCAGAGTTATGAGATCATTTTAGGTTGAAGTCCATTTGAAACAAACTGTTACCGTCAGAAATTTAACCCTGAATTGTTTGTTTTTCAGAATTAGAATCAGAAATACTTTAATAATCCCAGAGGGAAATTACTTTTGTTACACGCTCCAGTTACAGTTTT